ACACATACATTATCGATACTTAAAATCTATGGTTCACGTTACGTATACTATAAATTTCCAATACCGGTAGTATATATCGGAATATGACCGTTATTAAGCACTGCATCTATTTCTCGTGATTAAATTGTTGTTAATATAAATAAAATGTAATGTTTAAAAAAAACTCATTTTGATTAAAAATTTGAGATTAGCTTGATTTTACACGACTTTGATACGATTATTTGCACAAAATCAAGCGCAAATCTAAATATAGAAATTCGGAAATATATAATCATAAACAGAATCATACGTTCAGCGGAACAAAGAATTAATTATGTTATTTATATTAATTTTATTTTTATTAATTTATCAAGATGTAATTAATGTTTTTTTTAATTTTTTAGGTGCAATCAGTATGCCAACCGACATCGTAGTTACGTCGGCCTCGGCCACGGTTTCAGAGGAGACAAGCAGAGGTCGGGACCTAAGCCTTGGACAGTCTCCAAGATCAGGTCCCTCTTCTGCAGCCTCGTCATCCTCCAGTTCTAACGCGGCGTCAACCTCAAGAGGATTTGATCCATCTAGCACTCTCGCCTATCATCATCACCGCCATAGCTTGGTAACTGGTCTGGGTCATGCTCATCACCGAGAATCATCAGCCTTTGTGCCTGTGGTGCCTTCAAGATTACAACTCACTCCGTATCCAGGTGAAATACATCCCCATCTACCCGGACCACCGCCCTCTTCCTCATCGTCATCGAATTCGGAACATGAAGTCGGCCCTGAATCTTCAGTAGCCAGAAAAAGCTCCTCGAGTTACGATATTATGGCGATGATGGCCGACAAGAGAAAAGAATTGGCGAGAGGTCTTTTATTACCACCGCATCCTCTCCTTGAGCCACCTGGGTATCCGGTATTTGCCGGCCCTTTTCCAGGCAGTTCCGCATTGTATCCCCCAGGTGGTCCATTAGCCCATCAGCATCTGGATCGAAGGTTACTCAGAGCACCTGGCAGGGCATCTAGACCGAAGAAACAGTTTATTTGTAAATTCTGTAATCGACAATTTACAAAATCATACAATCTTCTTATTCATGAGAGGACTCATACTGATGAAAGGCCGTATTCTTGTGACATATGTGGCAAGGCGTTCAGGCGGCAGGATCATCTTAGGGATCACAGGTACAATACATAGTTTCTTGTTAAATTAATTAGAATCAATTGGTTGAATTAAATAAATTAGCTTCATGTAAAAAGAATATGATAAATTAACTTATTTAAATTTTTATTGTATATTTATATTGTATCAAATTTGTTTTGTAATATTAAGTATCTGCAATAAAGATAACAAATAAATAAGAGATAAAAATAAAATGAGGATACAATTTTTAAAACTTTGAATTATAATAAATAGAATGTAAACTTTTCTATTTATTAACTATTGTTATTTTTTGATTTTTATTTGTTTCCTTAGGTATATCCACAGTAAGGAGAAGCCTTTCAAATGTGGTGAATGTGGTAAGGGCTTTTGTCAGAGTCGTACTTTAGCAGTTCACAAGATTTTGCATATGGAAGAATCTCCACACAAATGCCCTGTTTGCGCGAGAAGTTTTAATCAGCGTAGTAATCTCAAGACGCATCTTTTAACGCACACGGACCACAAACCTTACGAATGTACGTCATGCGGCAAAGTATTCCGCAGAAATTGCGATCTCAGGAGACACGCACTGACACATGCCGTGGGCGACGTTCCTCCAGAGGCATTAGAAGAGGCATTGAGGGACGATGATAGTCCCGAAGAGGATTGCCCTGAGCCTGGGCCATCTTCCTCATCGACGTCCACAACACCGTCCGTATCTTCTGCATCTTCTAGTTCAACTGGATATCCTTCCCAATCTTCAGTCCCACCATCTACGCCTACAGCATCGGCCTCAGCACCACCTCTTCCTCAGAGACCTCAACTTCAGATTAGAAGGGATTTATTACCCGCTGTGAAAACATCAACGGTGACCAGCGGAGCTACTGCTCCACATTCTGTCACCCAAAATCCACCGGCTGCCCTTCCACCACCACCCCCACTCATTTTGGCTTCTTACCGACGAAGAATTGGCTCTCCAGGTCCTTCCAGAGTATTTCTAGAACTTCAAGAGCGTGAACGCGAGAGAGAACGAGAGATGGAGCAAAACAGAGAAAGAGAACGTAACAGAGAACGTGACAAGGAAATAGCTAGACCACCGAGAGCACCAACACCACAACCACCACCACCACCACCTAGACCTGCACCAGCACGTCAAGGTTTTACCATTGCGGATATAATGGGTCGATAGAAAATTTGTCGCAGGTAGTTTTCCTGTGCTTGAATTTCTCTTTTATATAGGCTTTACGGATTACACGAAGAAGAGATATTGGTCTTCACAAAGTATAGTCTTTCTAAAGATTCTATGAATTCTATGATATTTTTGGAATGCATAAGAATATGGCTAATAACTTGTTAAATTTGTCGAAAAATCTTATTTGTATGTTATTTATGCATATGTTATTGCAACGCATTTTTCATGTAAATATAAGAGAATTTAAATGAGAGAGTTTAAACATAAGCAGGCGAGAAAGATATCTTCATAATTTTTTTAAAATTTTGAGTGCGTGCGCAATTCTAAAATAGTTATTAGATTCGAAAAAATTTAACCCTCTCAATCCAAAACTATTAGGCATAATTAGATAATATATGCATATGTTTGTATGCTATTCTGTTATGCCCAATATATAAGTAATAATATAGAGAAATGAATTATAAAATTATAATTTTGTATACGGATTCACATAATAAATATTTACAAAATAATAATTTTACATATTATAAAAATTATGTATTATATATTAAATAAGATAATTTTTCAAAAATACGTAACAAGAAGATATTTTCATTATTACATAACTTTGAATGCAATATTGAGAAATAATTTGTTAGGAATGAGAGAGTTAGAATAAATGTATACCAAAAATGTGCCTTAATAGTTTGTCGTTAAAAAAACAGGTGCTCTCACTTCATGCTACAGTTGTAGAAGCCACAATACTTTCTGCGACACGCGTGAATCACACGATAACGATATGATAGGGAAAATGGAAGTGCAGAAGATTATTAAGGAAACTGCAACTACGACGAAGTCGTATTCTTTTGTCCCGCAGTTATTCGAGAGAGGGGATAATGCAAATTTTGCGGTCGGGGTAATAACCTGTGCCTGTGCCACCGTGGCAGGTGCAATACGGCTTTGTACCTGCTCGATCCGCGCGCGAAATACCTGCTCCTTGCTACTGCTGCCGTTGCTTTTCCCTTCTAAAAATATTCCGACCCTAGACGAATATCAATATTTTTTTCTTTCCCTTCTCCCCTCCCTCCCAACCCTGTGCCCTCGACTCGAACAAGCATTAATGGTCCTTTTGTGAGAGACCCAAACTGTGTTGAGACCCAAACTGTGTACCGTCCGATCGCAAAGAAGACCCTTTCGGACTACGCATCTAACACCTACAACACAAAGGTATACTTTCTTTTCAGTGGATTTTAAAGAATCCAGTATTAGAACGATCCATCGAATGTACATTCTAGAATAGCTTTCCGTTTTGAAAACGTCCATTGTGATTAAATAAAATTTCGAATGATCTGACCAACTATGTGTTAACGCGCGTTATGGATGAAGAATACAACATAATCGGGTACAAAATATACTCTATGCTTGAAATGATATTTAATAATAATAATGTATTGTCGTCTTTCTTAATTATAAAGTACATAGATTTTTATAAATACTGAAAATTCAATATTCCGTTAAGGACTGTCTAAAAGCAAACAATCATTTCCACAACGCTTTGTTTTGCGCGAGATTATTAGAAATAAATTAAATTAAATTCTATTCTTT